GCACCTTGGGGAGCCAGTGTGTGTAGGTGATGTGCTGCATCTGGGCACCCACAATTTTGCGCGCCTCGTGGTAGAGCGTGTCCCCATCCCAGTGGGGATTCAGGGCCCGCAGCTCGGTGGCAAGGCGGTTGTGCTCCCGGAACCAGAGGGTGTGCATGGCTGTGAGGCCTAGCTGCTCATTGGCACGGTGATCGCCTGCCAGGAAGCATGGCACAGGGCTCTCGTTCTCGTCCCTCATGCACTCGGTGGGCGGCCCCACTGCAAATGGGAGCAGGTGTTTTCCCGAGCTGGGCACCACCTGCCCTTGTTTCAGCAGCCCCCTCTGGCTGCTCAAGTTCCTCAGCTCCCGAGACTCCTGCTCTGAGCTGCCATAGACGTTAGAGGCGTCGATGTACGAGGTCAGGTGGTTGATCTGCTCCCTGGCGTAGACAGAGTTCATCAGCAGGGAGGTCATCCCGCTGCCGCACACAGGGCTGGAGCGGACGAAGAACATGCAGCGTCCGTTTTTCACCCGGGGGTCGTTCTCCGGGATCACGACCGAGAAGCACGGCGGGTCGTTGGTACACACCTCACTGAACCGCGACATGCTGATGGCGGCCACCGTCTGGTCCAGGTCGTGGTCCAGAAACTGGCCCCACTGCATGAGCATGTGTGTGAACTGCTCATTGGGGGTGATGGTTTCTGTCCCTATCATGGCTGTAGAGACAAGACGAGGCAGCGGCAGGGGCAGCTCCCTAGAGTCTTCCGCCAAGGAAAAGCCCCGGGGCAGGTTAAAGCCATTCTGGTAGGCTGGTTTGAGGAGGCGCTGGAAGGCCGTGAGGGACGCCCCCCACATGGGGTGTTGGAGATTGTTGCAGGAGCCATCGTGGGTCCTGTACTGCTTGTGAAAACAGATGTCGGAGCAGTTGGGAGTGCGGCGGTGGGCAGAGCAGCCGGACAGGTTGGCGATCACGTTCAGGTACCGAGGGGAGACCAGGTCGTTGTAACGGTAGCCTGAGAGGGAAGCCATACATTAGTGCAGGGCCACTGTAGACACACGCCCTGCCACCTTACACCCGGGCTACTTGGGGTCCATCATCAGTATTCTCAGGGTGGACAAGGCCAGTTTGATAGCTGGCCTGCAGGTGAGGTGCAGGGTCTGTGAGGGATTGTGGGAAGGTGAATAGTGTGTGAATGGCCCCAGCATGGAGTGTTGGATGGAGGCAGGGTTTGATGAACATGACAAAGGATAATGTGAGATGTGGTGGTGACTGGGCCATGCCATGAGGGTGGGCCTGGTTCCCAGGCTCTAATTAGCATGTTTGGTTTGTTGTTAAGTCCGTATTGTAATTATGCAGCTGCCCTCTGAGCCCTCCATAATCTGTGGAGTGGGACAGCACTATCCCCACTTGACAAGTGAGGAACTGAGGCAGAGTCAGACCGGAGCCGTGTCCACACTATATGAGGAACAGCAGTATCACAGCAGCTACTCCGCTGTAGTCGAACTCAACGGAAAGGGTTTTTCCATCGCCGTACAGGTTGAATTTCTCTAGTCCGGCACTCTCTGGTCTGGCAACATCCAGATGTCCACTTATCGTGGGTGTGTCCAAGTTTCCCGCGGTCCTATAAAGTTTGTTTACAGCCACCAGTCCTGGCTCTCAGTGTTCTGGGTTGTTATTTAGCTCGAATTGACCCTGAAATGTGTTGTAAGAGCCCAGTGCTCTGTGGAAGTGTTGGCAATGCTGCTAGACAATCCTGTGGTCCAGCAAATTCTCAGGTCCTACAGGAGTCGGACTAGAGAGGTTCAACCTGTAGTAAATCCACCACCTTCATCGGCAATAGTGACGGTGATGAAAGAATTCTTCCATTCACCTTCCCAGGTCTACTCCAGAACTTAGGTCAGCTTAGTTACATCTTGGAAGAGGGTGATTTTTTTCAGAGTCCTGAGACATGTGGTTGGTTGATCTAAATATGAAACGTAGACCAGACCTGAGTTGCCATAGGTCATGCAAGAAGTCTGTAGTAGAGTGGGCAAGTGAGCCTAGGTCTTAACTTCTGGCCATGTTTCCACACTCTGTGGGGCATTATATGCTGTAGTTGAAAGTTGAATGGAAGAAGATGGTCAGGGTAAGGGGCAGAGTTAAACACTGGTGTTGGATCCTGGACCATTTGTTTTTCTACTTACTGACACTTCAGGGTTTGGACTTTTCATGCAATGTTCTGACTTCCCACCTTTCTCCTGTGGTGTCATCGTTTATTAACACTTGTGAATTTCCTGATGGTCCACTTTCAGATCAGAAATTAGTTCTCATACCTGTACCATTCATGTCCACAATCAATCCCTGCTGGACATGGTCTTGGATCAGCTGCAACGTCCTTTCAAAGATCTCACCAGCCCGTGCTGTTTCAATGGTGTAAGGGTCTCGGGGGTAACGGAAGAGTGCCAGCAAGTCATTGGGAGTTTTGGGTCGTCTGTTTCAGAAAATTAAAAAAATGGGCTACAAATGACACTTGATTACAGAAATGAATATTTCTCTGATGTTCACAAGATATTTCAGGCACCATGCGTCACAGTCTAGACCTATTCAGCAGAGGTACCACAACAAGTAGTTTGTGTTAGTGATCCAACTTCTCTGCTTGTTAGGGCTGATCAGGGAAGAATTCCACCTCCATCCCCCCAAGATTGATGAACATTTGCATAATTACCTCCCCCCCACACCTGAAAACATAAAATATTTGAGGTTTTGGCACCTGAACGCCATCACATTTTCATTTAAGGCCGACAATTTTTGGTTTTCCTACAAACCCCTAAAATGTTCAATTAAAATGAAATTTCCATTTACTCTAAAGCCACTTTTTGGCCTGCTCTACTGATCAAAATCTGCTTTTATATGCTGACTGCAGATCTCTAAATCCTTGCATGTTCTGACTCAAGATTGCAATCCCATCCCTTGTACAGTTGTGTTGTCTCCTACAAAAAGACTTGGCTCAGTCTCAACAGACTTGAAAGATGAGGTTCCTTTGAAAGACAATTCCCTGGTCTTCCTGGTATAAATTTTTACTCTGCTACTGAGCTACATTTACTAGCATGGTCACCAGAAACCTGAGATAGGATCAAAGCAACGAAGAATAATGCACGCCTTTTCAGCATCTCCACCCAATATGTTTCTGATCTCAAACTGCTTTTGCATCTCAGACCTCATCCCCGAGCAGGCTTACTTGCTAAACAGCTCAGTGCGCGTTGAATTGATAGCATGGTCAACACTGCTGATGGCTTCTTGTATCGATGAGGCTACAAAGGTGTCACCACTCCGACCTACATCCGTGGCTGTCAAGGAATCAAGAGAGAATGAGGAAATTAAATGACTTCGTTTTACTTTGTTTTACTTTGTTTAGAACTCCTCTGCCAGGTGCCTTTGCAGACAACTTTGGGTAGCTTTGTGTGTCAGTTTGCAGGATAGTTATGAACTGAAATCACTGCCATATAATCATGGTATATAAAAGACCACACAGAAGGATGACAGCTTGCCCTCTTAGACTTACGGGAGCACCCCAAGATTTTGGCATGTGAACATTCACTTGCATACAGTTAATCAGAAGGTACTTCAACTGTAGTTGCTCTGATTTCATGTTTACAGATCTTCTAAAGAACGTATTAAACAGGCATGTTCTTGGAAAAAATGATTTTTTTTAACATGAGCTGCTAAGGATGCGCTTCAGAAACCTGATTCTGAAAGGGTACGTCTACACTGTAATCGGGAGTTGTGATTGTATCCCATGTAGACATACCTGAGCTAGCTTTAATCCAGTTAGCTTGCTCAAACCCAGCAGTGAAGCAGCAGCATGGGCAGAGGCACAGGCTTGTTCCCCGTCTACAAGCCTGCCTGGGACCCTGGGTATGTGTGTAAATAACTAGCCCATGCGGCCACAGCCTCACTGCTGTGCTTAGCCGCACTAGCTAGATGGAAGCACTCCGGGTGCCCTGCAGAGTCAGACATGCCCTGTGTTGCATCCCCCTCTCAGAACCAGACACAACATTTGGGGACAGCACATCACATCAAAAGTCACCAACCCAGCCCAAATTTGGATAGCGACATTGGGAACTGACATGTAATGTGCTCTTGACCGGACAAGCTACAAACCACCAACAAATCACACACATTATCCTCAGGCCTTGTCTTCACGCAGTGGAAGATCGCCACTTCCACAATCAATCTTACAGAGTGCGATTTAGAGAGTCTAGTTAAGACTCGCTAAATCAAACTCAGAGGGCGCTCCCACTAGCAGCCTGTACTCCTGCTCTTGCAAGGAGTAAGGAAAACTGATGGGAGTGTTTGCTCCTGTCAGCCTCCCACGGTAGGGACAGCACCAACTCCAGCTATGTAGAATTTGTAGCTGGAGTCGCGTACCTTAAGCTGAGCTTCCAAGTCTAAAGTAGACCTGGTCTCAGAGGAGTAGCTGTGTTAGTCTGTATCTGCCAAAACAACAAGGAGTCCTGTGGCACCTTGGAAACTAATAGATTTATTAGGGCATCAGCTTTTGTGTCTTCCAATTCCCACCCCCGTCCCCGATTCTTTCCTTCCCTCCAAGTGGTACCAGGGTGGTGCTTGACCTGTGGTCTGATTGACAGATGAATGTCTCCTGCCTAGCTGCTACTTGTTACAAGCTCTGATTCTCCTCCCTTCTTATTCAGGAAGCAGGCAGGGGGGCGGGGGGAGGGAATAGTGGGTTAAGGCTTCCCTTCCCCCAGTGAGTTAAGGCTGGAGACATGCGTTTGAAAACCCATCATCAAATTGGCAGAGCTGTTTGAATCCTCCTTCCCATTGCAAGCCCCGTGTGTCAGACTGACTTTCTCATAAGAAAGCTAAAGGAGGGACACAATTGTTCTCTAATATGACAGGCCTCCTCATGGGAAATATGGACGTAGAGCAAGAGAAAGAGAGAACATTGCCGAGGTAAAACCAAGGGTCACTGTACCGGTGATGGTCAGCTGCATAGTGCTGGATGTGAATCCAAAGGTATTCCTGGCTCTACACTCGTATCTGCCCTGGTCCGCCACTCCCAGGTCTCGAATGGAAAGGGTCCCGTCTTGACTTACATGGAACTTGCCACTTTCTGTGATCTGAATGCCTTCCTGTGGCACGATCAAAAGACAGGAAGGCGTTTCAGTGAGAAGCCCTCTGGCTAGGCTCTGTTCTATCCAGAACACACACACACAGAGCGGTCTTTGATCAACATGACCAGCAGATGTCAGGAGAACTCTGTGGAACGTAGAAAAAGCACCCGAAAGCAAAAGGAACACCAGTTCTTCTCACCCGTCAACCTGCCCCCTAGCAATTCTTTTGGCTAGTTACACTCTTGTCCGGCTTCCCACCTGCCTCTGCCCCCAAACACACATGATATAGTTTTGGAGGGACTTGCAAAACTGCTAACTGTGGTATGTAACCTATTGCTAAATCAGTTTGGGTACCAGATGACTAGAAGGCAGCTAATTGCTACAGGAAGGTAATTAAATTGCAGCAAGGGAGGTTTAGGTTGGACATTAGGAAAAACTTCCTAAGTGTCAGGGGCATTAAACACTGGAATAAATTGCCTAGGAAGGTTGTGAAATCTGCAACACTGGAGCTATTTAAGAGCAGGTTGGACAGACGTCTATCAGGGATGATCTAGATGGTGCTTGGTCCTGCTGTGAGGGCAGGGGACTGGACTTGATGCCCTCTCAGTCCCTTTCAGTTCTAGTGCTCTATGATTCTATGACTAGAATGTCATGCAGATTTTTAAAAAAAGGTTCCAGAGGCGATCCTGGCAATTACAGGCCTCACTTCAGCACCAGGGAAATTGATAGACACTGTGGCAAAGAACCGAATTCTCAGAGACATAGATGAACATGATATGTTGGTGAAAGGTCAAGGTGGCTTTTGTTAAGGGAAGTCATGCCTCCCTGATCTATTAGCATTGTTTGAGGGATCCGCATGCATGCGGGAAAAGGTGATGAAGTGGAGCTAGTGCAGATGGACTTTAAGAAAGCCTTTGACAAGGTCCCACCCCATGGGCCCATAAGCATCATGCGGTAAGAGAAGAGGCCCTCTGCTGGATCGAGAATAGAGACTAGAAAACACAGGGGAGGAATAAGTTGTCAGTCCCCAGGGGATCTGTACTGGGATCAGTGCTCTTTAACGCAGGAGTGGGAAACCTCAGGTCCAGGGGCCAGATGCGGCCCCTAACTTGCCTGGATCCAGCCCCTGAGGCTTCCTTCTCCCCTGCTCCCCAGCCTCTGACACACCAGCCTCCCCACCCCTGCTTTAACATATGGAGGCAAAGTTTGTAGAGGATAGAAAATGACTCAAGATAGTTAAGGACAATGCTGACTACAAGGAGGGGTCTTATGAAACAGCATGAGTAGGCAAGAAAAAGACAGATGGAAGTCAGTGCTGACCAATGCAAAGTAATCCCATTGGAGAACAGCGCCAGCCTCTGACACACCAGCCTCCCCACCCCTGCTTTAACATATGGAGGCAAAGTTTGTAGAGGATAGAAAATGACTCAAGATAGTTAAGGACAATGCTGACTACAAGGAGGGGTCTTATGAAACAGCATGAGTAGGCAAGAAAAAGACAGATGGAAGTCAGTGCTGACCAATGCAAAGTAATCCCATTGGAGAACAGCGCACAGTCAATCTGGGGCAATCCTAGCCAGGGGTGTTGTGAAGGCAAAAACTGGGTTCAAACAAGAATTAAATACGTTCAGGGAGGACAGTTCCATCAAGGGTTATTAGCTAAGATGGTCGGGGATGCAACCCCATGCCAGGCCTGCCAATAGGGTCAGGAAATGGACAACCGCCTGGTGATTCAGAAGGTCCAGGGCTCCCGATTGCTGTTGCCATTACTATGGAGCCCCGCCCCTTCTAACTGAGGCCCCGCCCCTTCTGGGGCGCAGAGCTGACACCCTCCTCCCACCTTGTCGAGCAAGTCTGTTGGTCCCACTGCTCTATGCTCTGGGTGTCCTTCCACCTCACTGGGTGATGGGATGGATAATGGCCGTTTTGTTCATTCCCACCAAAGCATCTGGCATTGGCCACTGTCAAACGACAGGACGCAGGACTAGCTGACCCTTTGATCTGACCCAGTATCACTGCTCTTACAATCCACAGGTTTCCCTCAATACGTTTGCCTCCCGATTCTGTGCCAGCGTAGGAGCAGGAAGTGGGGATCGTTCTGCTGCAGTGAGTTTGGGTCAGCTGAGGAATGAGAAGCTTTTGTGACTCTCTGGTGGGACAGGCTCTCGCATAAGCTCTCGGACCATTGTGGCCTTGGGTGGGTCCGCCAAACCCAGTCTGAAGAGCTCCAAATATTCACAAATCTTGAATCGGGCCCCCAGAAAGCATAAGACTGGTATAGAATCTGGAGAGCTAACATAAATAACATTTGGGATTTTTGTTCTTTGCCTTCCGAGTTTTGAGTCTTCAGACCACATTTTCATGCTGTTCTCTCCAACCATAAAGGCTAACCACGTCTTGTTTTAAAATAAAGGAGCACTCAGAGTCTCACGCACTTGCTTGACTCCAGGAGTGGTGGCTTTGGGTGGTAATAATTCATACCACTACTACTACTACTACTAAACACAAAGTTTAGGTAGAGTGCTGTTCATCAGCCAATCCGACAGTTTTTTACAAAGAAGCAAAACATCAAATATTGTGACACTAGCAACAACATCATGAAAATGGGAGCAGCCCTTCTTGTATTGGGGCGTCTTGTCTTGTCTTTCCAGCTGAAGTGAAGGATAGGAAAGACCGGATTCGTTCATTTACGCTGGTGTAACTCTGCACTCACTGCACTCAAGTCAATGGACATTAAGCTAAACAAGAACAAGGCGCCTTTATTCCAGAGTCATAGTGCCCACCCATGGAGTTTTTCAGAAACAGCTGCTTGTGAATAGCGCCATATGCAGACACACGCTAAACGAGAAGTCAGGCCTGTAGAATTCTGTACAGCGCCTGGCGTAATGGGCACTAACCTTGACTGTGGTCCCCAAGTCCTATCATAAGACAAGTAATAAACAGCAAGAAAACAATAGTCATACAATAACAACAGCACTGTTTCAGTTCCTATTTGAACTGCTATCTCTTCGTTCCTCCTCCTCTCAGGATTCACTGCAGCCCAGCAGATGCTAAAGAATGTGCCGCTAAAATACCATTTTCAGGTTACTGAGTGTTAAGTGCTTCCTCTTGTGTGTTTTTTGTTGTTGTTCACATCCAGGATAAAATCAGGTGAGTGACTGTTAGTGGTATAACAGCAGAGGCCCCCGTGTGCACTGTAGAAAGGCTGAGGCGAAGGAAAAATCGGTATCTGAGGGAGCTCCCAATCCAATGAAAATGGAACCTCTTTTTCACTGATAATAGACACTAACCTCTCTCTGTAGCATTGCCTTGATAGCATGATTGTACCATCTCAGACCCAGAGCCAAAGCGAATTCTAATGTACTAGCAATGCATCCCACTCCAACCAAACACAAAGTCTACATCTAGATTGCATCCCTTTTCCGTAAAAGGGATGCAAATTTAAATCTCCCCCGCTTCATTAGCATAAAAATGGCTGCCGCTTTTTTTTCGGCACGGAGCTTTGGTGGAAAAAAGCGTCAGTCTAGACGCGGATCTTGCAGAAAATAAAGCTTTTTCGCGAAAGATCCCTTATCCCTCATTTTAAGCTCCGTGCCGAAAAAAAAGCGGCAGCCATTTTTATACTAATGAAGCGGGGGAGATTTAAATCCCCGCTTCATTAGCAATTGTGACACGTGTAATTTGCATCCCTTTTACAGAAAAGGGTTGCAATCTAGACGTAGCCAAAGACTATTTGTAATGTACTAAATTATCCCATCCTTGGGAGGAACACAAGTGAATAACATGTTTGAAAGCCTTAAATAAGTTACATGAAGGCTGGTAATGTGGAAAGAGCAACCCATGTTGCAAAAGGCTTGACTATTTGTTGACACCTAAGAATCCAATTGAGAAAACGTGTTCAGAATTTTGTTGCTTTCTATTAAATGCATCTTCTCCCGTATTTACTATGCAAGCTTGTTGAAAACCATGACAGCATTAGGTAATGATTAGAGGTGATTGAAAATGGCTGGGTTAACAGTAAATGTGGGCACTGAAATTATTCAGAAATTCCAGTCAGATTTGGTGAAGTATTTTGGAAAATAACACAGAAAACAAAAAATTGAGAGGTGATGAAATGGTTTATTTGGGGGAAAAAAACATTTTGAAAAACCTCAGAGGGGTAGCAGTGTTAGTCTGTAACTTTAAAAAACAGAGTAGCCCTGTGGCTCCTTAGGCTATATGGGATACCTCTAGTATCCCAAAATAGCTATTATAAGAACATAAGAACGGCCGTACTGGGTCAGACCAAAGGTCCATCTAGCCCAGTGTCCTGTCTGCCGGCAGTGGCCAGCACCAGGTGTCCTAGAGGGAGTGAATTGAACAGGTAATGATCAAGTGATCTCTCTCCTGCCATCCATCTCCAACCTCTGACAAACAGAGGCTGGGGACACCATTCCTTACCCATCCTGGCTAATAGCCATTAATGGACTTAACCTCCATGAATTTATCTAGTTCTCTTTTAAACCCTGTAATAGTCCTAGCCTTCACAACCTCCTCAGGCAAGGAGTTCCACAGATAGACTATGCACTGTGTGAAGAAGAACGTCCTTTTATTTGTTTTAAACCTGCTGACCATTAGTTTCATTTGGTGGCCCCTAGTTCTTATTTTATGGGAACAAGTAAATAACTTTTCCTTATTCACTTTCTCCTCACCACCATGATTTTATAGACCTCTATCATATCCCCCCTTAGTCTCCTCTTTTCCAAGATGAAAAGTCCCAGTCTCTTTAATCTCTCCTCATATGGGACCCGTTCCAATCCCCTCATCATTTTAGTTGCCCTCCTCTGAATCTGAAAATATAACGGGCTCGCTATTCTGATGTCCCTGTACAACTCGATGCACAAGGATTAAGCGATATTTCAGAATAGTGCCTTATTTTGAAATTTGGCACTGTGTAGATAAGCTATTTCAAAATAACATCGAAATAAGCTATGTAATTTTTATAGCGTAAATTTCATAGCTTATTTCGAGGTAAAAGTGCTGTGTAAACACCCTCTCAAGCTACATCTAGACTGCAAGCCTGTTTTGAAAAAGGCTTTTTCAAAAGGTACTTTCGAAAAAGCCTCTTTCGAAAAAGAGCATCTAGACTACAACCAGTACTTTCAAACAAGAAAGCCGCTTTTTCGAAAAAGAGCACCCAGGCAGTCTGAATGCTCTGTTTTGAAAAGACACAGTTTGCATTACATAGCACCTTTTTTCAAAAGAGCACTTTCAAAAAAAGGCATTCTTCCTCATAAAACGAGGTTTTTACAGTCAAAAACACTGCCGCATTCTTTCAATTTACTTTCAAAAGAACACGGCAGCAGTCTAGATGCAGGGGAAGTTTTTTGGAAAAAGGCCACTTTTTTCAAAAAAACCCCTGTAGTCTAGACACACTTTCAGAGACTAACTAACTAACTCTCTCTCTCTCTCTATATATATATATATATGTTGGTTAGTCTCTAGGGATACATCTACACTGCAACATTATTTTGAAATAACTAGCAGACAGTTATTTTGAAATAGTGTGACAATACTCTCAAGCTGGAGGATTTCTTCCTCCAACCCCTGTAACCTGGGAGTTACAAGTTTTCCGTTAAAAGCATTTTTGGAAAAGCGCGTCTAGATTGGCAGGACGGTTTTCCAGAAAGCACTTTTTGCGGAAAAGCGTCTGTGGCCAATCTAGACACGCTTTTCCACAAAACAGCCCCGATTGCCATTTTCTACAGTACTGTCTACACTGGCCCTTTCGGGCAAAAGTCTTTCGGAAAAAGACTTTTGCCCGAACAGGAGCAGCATAGTTTTTCCGGAAAAGCACTGATGATTTTACATTAGATCGTCAGTGCTTTTCCGGAAATTCAAGCGGCCAGCGTAGACAGCTGGCAAGTTTTTCCGGAAAATCAGATGATTTTCTGGAAACATTTGCCAGTGTAGACACAGCCTCATTGTACGAGGAATAAGGAAAGTTGGAGGAAGAGCGCTCTATTTCAAAATAAGTGCTGAGTAGACGCTCCCTATTTTGAAATAAGCTATTTCAAAATAAGATATGCAATTGACGTAGCTCAATTTGCATAGCTTACTGCGAGGTAAGCCCTACTGCGTAGACGTGCCTTAAGTTGCCACAGGACTACTTGTTATTTTGAAAAGATCATTTTGATTTAACGTTGCGTTTCAAAACGTTGATTCAAATTAATATTGGAAATGTTTCTTTTCTACCCACGTGCAAATTTTTCTTTTTTTTTTAACACAAAAAAACAACAAGAATTGTGTTGGATTTTTCCCCCAGGTATTTGGACTCTGTCACTGAACCAAAAATTCCATTACTCACTCTGCTGCAGTAATGACACAGCAACAGGAACATTGCTTGGTCATGATTATAACTGGGGTCTCAGAAGGGAGAACCGTGTTAGTCTGTAACTTTAAAAACAAATAGTCCTGCGGCACCTTAGAGGCTAACAAAAATATGTACATACTATCGTTAGCTTTCGTGGGCAAACCCCTCTTTGTCAGATGAGATGAGCTAGAGTGGAGAAAAAGAGGGGGACCCTCAGAATAAGAAGGGAGAGGGAGCGGAAAAAAAGTACCTGTCAGTTGGAGTGCCGGTGCTAATGAGGCTAATATAGTGGGGAGGAAGTGTCCCCTACTTAGCTTCTGATGTGAATGGGGTGTTGAATGTAAGGAAAGCTGGTTTTATAATGGGCCATCCAGTTCAAGTCTGTTTAGGCCAAGGGAAACTGTCAAATTTACATATGAAGGCCAATCCTTCTCCATCTTCCCTTCCCCTCCCCCTCCCCCTCTCCCTTTTCCCTCCCTCTCCTCCCCTCCTTCCCCCTTCCCCTCTCCCTCTCGGTGGCTTGTGAACTTCCTTTGTAGAAAAACTTGCATTTGGGATACTGCAGGAACTGAATATTCTCTTACTTTGGCCCAGGTGACGGTGGGTCGCGGATCTCCTTGGGCCGCACAGGTGATCATGACATCTTGCCCAGTCTCTGCTACCACGTCTTGTGGGGGGTGAAGAAACACAGGGATCACTGTGTAGTGTGAAGAAACAGAGGAATAAACACAAGAACCGTCTTGGGTCGGAGCCCCTCTGAGAGGTATCAGTCAGTAACATATCCCCAGTGTCTCAAAGAACACATGAAGGGTCATTGTCAAGTGAAAACATCACCCGTTTTTCTGGCCTCTACTACTAACCGCCCTCTCTTATTTAAATGTCACTTTTCAGCTTCTGCAGCTGTTGTATTTCTCGCAGCTTGGACAATTACACGGTGGATTTCTCCATCACTTGGAGGTTTTAAATCAAGACCGGATTTCTTGCCAAAGAGCTGCTCTGGCTCAAGCAGTAATTATGGGCTCGCTGCAGAAATTACCGACTGAGGTTCTCTGATCCGTGTTATGCCTTAAACTCTGTCCTTAAGCCCTGTGCATCTGCGAATTAACAGAAGCTGGTCAGTTTCTCATGGCATTCTAGTCAGTTTCATCCCCCCCTCCTTCCCCGAGGGTCACCAGGGATCAGTCCCAGTGGGAGGGAGAGGAGCAGGAGCAAGGACAGTTACGTGGAGGTTCCCGGCTGCTACTGCAGCAGCAGTGGCAACTGGAGCTCTGAGCCCTTTAAATCACTGCCCGAGCACTGCACACCCTCCCGGTGGTTCTCTCAGCTCCCACGGCAAAGAGAAATCCAGCCGTCAGTGGCATAGGCACCAGAGCACGGAAAACGCCACCAGCCTGCAAAGCGGAAGCTCTCCGTCCATTGCCCGCACAGGCGTACCTCGAGGGGTCACCCACAGCTGCACTGGGAAGCTCTTCACGCCGAGGGCACTGATGGCATGACATTCATACTGGCCTTGATCGTGCAGGGCAACCCTCACGATGCGCAGGGTGCCGCTGGAGAGGACGCTTTGCCTCCGGTCAACGGGCAACGGCCCCCCTGATGGCGAGAGCCGGGTGATTTCTTAGTGACGCACTCTGTTACGACCCCCTTCCCTGCGGGCGGTGGTGAGGGTGTCTGCAGTCTGCCCGTGCCCACTCTGTAAAGCCCTGTCCCTGGTACTGATGCCCTGAAGCACCAGCCTCCTCTTTCCAGCCAAGGACAAGAACTGCTGCTCCTATCTTAGCATGACCCCCAATTTGCCGTACGGATTATTACAGGCTCAGTCTGAATCCAACCCCTTTCTGTGCAGTCCGTTGTTATTCGGCGCATGGACCCGGCCCCCCCCCCCCGTCCCCTTTCTCCTGGCGGTTTTTTGCGCACCTTCTGTTAACCTTTGGAACAACTTGCCAAGAGAGGCGCTGGACGCCCCACAATCATCGTGGGAGAGTTTGGTGAGACAGCTGTCGTAGTTCAAACTACTGCTGAGGCAAAGCGGCTTCTATCTGGTGTCTCCTGCCCTCCCCCTCAGGATGCCTGGCACAACCGCCTTCGACAGAAGCCACTCACCCCCCACTAAATGTAAGGCCTGGGAGTCAGATGTGGCCTGGCTTGTCTGGATCCAGCTCCTGCGGCTTGGGGCTCCCCCACAGCATTGGGGGGTCCGTGCTGGTGCTCCATCCCCCGCTGCCCCCCATGGGGCTGGAGCACACAAAATCTACTAGCCTGGGCCCCCCTAGGCTCTGGTGTGGGAGGGGAATGTGGGGAGGGTCGTTTTGCTTCTCAGCAAGGCCCCCATGTCAGGGAGGTTTTTTGTTTCGTTTTTGCTTCTCCCTTGTGTGCAGCCCCTGACTGATTTTTCTGTGGGTCAATGGCCCCCACGCCAGCACAAAAACGAAGGAAACTCAATGAAGTGGAAGCAACCGACCTCGCCGGCATTTACAGGATACGGAAGCCACCTGGCCTCTTTCGACCCCTAAGGAAGAGTTTTCAGGGACGGCCGTAGATGCCCAGCACTCTCAGATCAGCCCCTCCCCTTCCCGCCAGACTCCTCCAGGTCCCTCCCAGAGACCACAGGACTGTGCCACGGCCACCAGTCGTGCAATCACTGGAGGGACGTGGTAACGCCGCCACGGAAGCAGCTGGGAGGGTGACTCAGAAGCTGAGCATTTCACGGGGTCTTATGAACATTTCTTAGGGTTGCACCGTGCTGCGGTAAGGGGTGGGAATGGTCACGTGTTACACGCCCCCCTCAGCCTCAAGCCAACCACCAGCCCGCAGGGGGTTGCTGGATCCGCTGTCTCACAAGGGCAACACATCTTCAGCTCCGTGGGGTGATAACTCCCCCTGTGCCGCAGAGCCATAGCCCAGCAGCCGCGCCCAGGCCGGGTGGGTATTGAGAGGAGAAGGTACCACGGGGGGGAGTACCTGCCCTTGTCCAGGCGATGACGGGTGCCGGGTGGCCTTCAGCAGTGCAGGAGAAATCCACGCTCTGCCCCTCTGTCACAATCTGGTCCCTGGGAACGAGCAGGAACCTGGGAGTATCTGAGGGGAGAAGACAGTAGGGAAAACCCCCAGCACAGCCACACAGGAACAGCCACAGAGAGCGGCTCAGGGCCCCGTGCCCTGGGCCTAGCTGCCTGACCAGCGGTGGCGAGCGTAGCACCCGTGAACGTCGCCGCGTCCCTCACCTTGCACTAGAATGTTTGCCGTGGCCTGGATGGAGCCTTCGGAGTTGCTGGCCTTGCAGTTGTACTGGCCCTGGTCCAGGAAGGTGACGTTCTGGATGTACAGCCCGCCCGAGCTGGTGATGGCGAAGCGGGAATCGCCCGGTAGCGGCGAGCCTGTGCCCAGAGTCCAGACGACATGCGGGGGTGGGTGCCCGGACACCCCACACTCCAAGGTGACGCTTCCCCCGACCAGCACTTCTGTGTTCTGGGGCTGGATCACAAAGCTGGGCTTGGCTGGAAGGAAGGGACACATCTCAGACCCAAGCCTGCTCCTTCCTCCTGCCCCGACCTCTCCAGATTGGGGCAAATCAAGCTTCCCCGGGATGTTAGATCAAATCTGTCACTGAAAAGGGGGGCTTTACCCAGAATGCATTTCAAAGGAGGTCAGAGCCCACTTCCTCAGCAGGCAACCCTCCACCCAGCCCTTCCATGTCCTCCAAAACCAGTAAGATGACAGAGCCTCTTCTACCTCTCCTCTGTGGAGATATTGCTCTCCACTCGCCCTTTTCCTGGGCTCCTTTGCTCTGGTCACCCCTGGCCATAAAGGTGGCCCCAAAAATCCTTCACCTACGCTGGCTTACTCTGAACCTACGCATCTTCTGCTCCCGTGGTCCTGCCTATTCCTGCAGAAAGCCCCAGGATTGTGCTGATCCTTTTTACTGGACTGTTTGTCCTCTCCTTCCTTTCCGGACATACTTGTGGGCCTGCAATCCTGACACCTATTAACCATCTTTGACTCCCTTCCCTCCTCCAGTCCGCATGCCGAGTCCTCAGGGAAAAGTCTCATTCCTAAACAATTTCAGGAAACAAGCCCCACTCCCGGGTGCTGCGTTAGAGTTACAAAGAGGAGCTCCTTCTTTCTGAAGGGTTTGGCGCAGGAGCAGAACCTGTCCCGAGCTGCTAACAGAGTTGCAGAAGCCTTCAGCTGTGCTGTGTTCATTTTCTTAGGGGTTTGGGATGGCAGATGGATTCACACAATGGTGGCTGCACCAGTTACATCTCTCCCTTCGCTCCATAACACCCCTCCCAGCTGGCTAGGAACCTCCAAAGCGCCGGGCACGTGGAGACACTTGCCAAAGAGCATAAAAATAAAGAAGAGTTTAATCTGACTGACTCCCTTCCATAATCTGCACTGTTGAGAAGTATTTAAGACTTGATTACATGGCGTGCCAAAGTAGCGCAGAACTACTTCTTGTGTCTTGACCTCTCCAGCTATGTTCTTGGCCATGCACTGGTAGATGCCTTTGTCCGATTCTTTGGTGTTTTGGATCATCAGGGTCCCATCCTGCAGCAAGTTAAGGCGCCCATCGTCGTTCATGTCAATTTCATTACTGAAAAGCAGAGCCAGGCACAAAGATGCTGAGTTGGCAGGGACAGAGTTAAAATACTACCATTTCCCCCTATTCATCATCATCAAACTGTTTATTTATTGCTGGTACAACATTGTTTGTGCCTTTTCAAGTTATTTTATAGCTCTCCATAATTGAGACCAAGTATTTTTTCCCCAGTAACTCTCATATTATACAGGCAGAAAATGTCCAAATTTCCTCTTAGCTTGAGTTCCAGCTTTCTTTCCCTTGTTCGCCAAGGACCACACACCTATCTTGGACTCAAAACACAAATGTGTCCTGCAGCCGAATAATATACTGCAAGAAGATATATCAATGGATCCCATAAAACCATCTAAACAATTTTTAGCACTGCTTCTCTACCCCATTATACACAGATACTTTTAGTCATAGGAACTTTTATTATAGGCAAATAGAACTATAAAGGAAGAAAGAACAAAAAGAAAAGTCTCCCCTGTTAGACTGCCCTAATGTAACTATTAAATTGTTTCTTGTCTCTGCAGACAGCACTGTCCTTGAAACTTTAAACATGCAGCATACCAGGCAATTAGAATAACATCTAACCCTTAGTAGCAATCCCATCAGAAACTCTGTTTGCTTAGGGAGACATGACTGGTTTTATGGTATTCAATGCTGCTCAAAGACACGGAAAACATTTTGTGAATACTGTACTTGGCTGAAAATGTTCCTTGTTTCAAAACATGAAATAAACACAACATTCATTGACATTTCAAAATGTGGAGAAAATGTAGAGAGGCTCTTGAGATATGAAGAACAAGTGAAAATGTTTATAGAAAAATATTTTACACATAGTTTAAAGTTTAAAAAATACATTAAAATAGCACTTTGCTAAAGTTGCATTCAGCTGTCCTATTAACTTTGTTTTTGAAGACATTTATTGTAAGACCAGGGGTACTTGTATGGCGTGAAAGCACATACAAAATGGCACCAAGTTATGCAAGCAGTAGCTGTGATGAATTTGGCCCTAAAGCTGTATGTGAAGTCCAGTTTATTTCTGCAGGACCGGCCAGTGTTCGAAGGTCACTCCATTGGACATCATTTGTCTAGCAGGATGGAACTTTGGAAGGCTGCAGAAGGAGAGGAAATTTCTCTCTCCACAACGGAGATGGTTCCACCTGGCCGAAGAACATGCTTGATGATTATTTATGATTTCCCCTTGTCCAATGTTCCTGCCCAGTAATAGTGGTTTCCAGTGCGGCGAACATAAATCAGTGGGATCCATTCACGCTGCTATCGGTGGAAGTCTGCCAGCATTTCCATCCCAAAACACCCTTTCCAGAGGGATATAACTCAGCCGCAGACATTTGCACTGGAGTGAAACTCTGCCTGCCGGTTGTCAGCAGGGAAGCCAACATTCGTCATTTGGGTTTTATTTTTAAGAGCGTCCTATTCACCCTCCCACATTCCCATCAAACCGAGGAATCCTCTCATGTGCACGATTGGACGGCTGCTCCAGCCCAAACCACTTTGGTGTCTGGCTTTTCAGCCCCTAGGATCACCAGGGAAGAGAGCATGTTAACCCCTTCCCTGCCACTTTCTATTGCCACCTCCGCACCGCACTGGAGGTCTACAATTCCCCGTTGAAGTGCTGTCCCCTTTCCATGGGCAAATCAGAATAAAGGAGGCACCGCTTTAGCAGTTAATAAATCACAAACTTGGCGTCTCCAAGCAGTTCAAAAGGCTAATAAAATGTCTTCAAAGACAACTTCTTTCAGCCTACAGAGTACATTTACAGGCAAGTAGAAATCCTGGGGAACCATTTCACGTGGAGACGAAGGGAGCGCTTTAATGACAGGGTTATTGGAGCGTGCTACTAAACTGAAGGTCAATACAATGACTGACACATGTACTTCTAATTTGTGTGATGTGACTCCTGTAATTACAGGCCAGGCTGGGCAATACTTTTCGCAGGGGGGCCACTTCATGAATTTTGGTACATGGTCAGGGGCTGGCTCTGGGGCCCCCCAGAAGGGGCGGGGCTTTGGGTGGAAGAGGTGGAGCGGGGGGCTAGTTTCTCCCCAGCATTACCTGGCCAGGATGCTTTGAATTAAAAAAGCAGCGAAGGGCTCGCGGTTCCCAGCCCTGCTGCTACCCCGTTGCCTGGCAACCTTCTGGAGCCGCTGCGGCAATTTAAAGGGCTCGCAGCTTTTGCCGCTGCTGGGATAGCCTCATAATCGGGAGCCAGGAGTCCGTTGCCTGAGCCACTTCCTGGAAATTCTGTGGCGGCTGGACATAAAGAGTAAGCGATCAGATGCCGTCTGCAGAGCAAATCGAATTGTTAGGCGGGCCAAACCCAGCCCGCGGGCCGTATCTTGCCCAGCCCTGTCAAAGGCAGTAACTGAGGAGTTTGCAGCTCAATGGAAGCAGAAATTCCTCCGGGGCCTATGTGCGTGACTTACTTGTTGTGCAGCCAGATGATCTCCGGCTTTGGGTTTCCTTCTGCCCTGCAGGTGAAATAAACAGTGTTTCCCAACTTGACGTCAGCATCATGGGGCTCAGTGGTTATGCGAGGCCTCTCTGAAAAACACCAGTTAACAAAACCCATTCTAGCGTTGATAAATTGCACCGTTAGTGGTTTGCCCACCCTTTGGTACGTTATGCAGTATCATAACCAGTATCAGGCAGATTTATTGCTAATAGCCAGTAAGACCACAGCACAGTAACTCCTCACGTAATGTTGTTCCAGTTGGCGTTGTTTTGTTATGTTGCTTATCTAGTAGAGCATTTGCTCATTTCAATTGTGCAAATGTTCTCTTATAATGTCACTTGTTTGCCTGCTTTGTCCACTATGTGCAAGATTTTCTGGAAAAGCAGCCTGTTCGTGTGGGGGTTTGGAACCAGAACCCAAACCCTCATCAGCTCCCCTAAGTTCCCTGTAAGGTATGTGGCTCGGCAGCTGTATTTCAGTAATGCATGTCTCTCTCTCTCTCTCTCTCTCCCTCTCAAATGCACAAGGTCTCTTTGTCTCCCCCCTGCCACCTTTGGCACTATTTGGAGAAAAGAGCGGTACACTCCCGTGTAGAATCATAGAATACTAGGACTGGAAGGTACCTTGAGAGGTCATCGAGTCCAGTCCCCTGCCCTCATGGCAGGACCAAGTACTGACTAGACCACCCCTGACAGACATTTATCTAACCTACTCTTAAATATCTCCACAGGTGGAGATTCCACAACCTCCCTGGGCAATTTATTCCAGTGTTTGACCACCCTGACAGTTAGGAACCTAAACCTCCCTTACTGCAGTTTAAGCCCATTGCTTCTTGTTCTATCCTCAGAGGCCAAGATGAACAAGTTTTCTCCCTCCTCCTTATGACACCCTTTTAGATACCTGAACACTGCTATCATGTTCTCCCTCAATCTTCTCTTTTCTAAACTAAACAAACCCAATTCTTTCAGCCTTCCTTCATAGGTCATGTTCTCTAGACTTTTAATCATTCTTGTTGCTCTTCTCTGGACCCTCTCCAATTTCTCCACATCTTTCTTGAAATGCGGTACCCAGAACTGGACACAATACTCCATCTGTGGCCTAATCAGCGCAGAGTAGAGCGGAAGAATGACTTCTCGTGTCTTGCACACAGCACAACTCTTAATGCATCCCAGAATCATATTTGCTTTTTTTGCAACAGCATCACACTGCTGACTCATATTTAGCTTGTGGTCCACTATAATCCCTAGATCCTTTTCTGCTGTACTCCTTCCTAGACAGTCGCTTCCCATTCTGTATGTGTGAAACTGATCGTAGGTTCATCATCATGTTCAGTTTCTGCACGGAAGTGTTTGCAGCCACTGCCCTGTCTATTATGTTTCCTGCCTCCCATCCCTGCGTAACAGGCCTCTTGTATGTGAGGTTACATTAAGAACATATTAACTTTCGAGGGTTCAGCCAAGTTTTAGTGCATCAGATAGTAGCAAGACCTTTCCTGGGAAATATTCCATCCTCTAACTCCAACACCTTATACAAGTTTTCCAAGCATCATCGCTGTGTACAGCATTAAATTGTTTAAAATGTATAGGCTGTGTCTACACTGGCCACTTATTCCGGAAAATCAGCTGCTTTTCTGGAATAACTTGCCAGCTGTCTACACTGGCCCTTTGAATTTCCGGAAAAGCACTGACGATCTACTGTAAAATCATCAGTGCTTTTCCGGAAAAACTATGCTGCTCCCGTTCAGGCAAAAGTCCTTTTCCGGAAAACTGTTCTGGAAAAGGGCCAGTGTAGACAGCACAATGGTGTTTTCCGCAAAAAAGCCCCGATCGCGAAAATGACGATCGGGGCTTTTTTGCGGAAAAGCGTGTCTAGATTGGCCATGGATGCTTTTCTGGAAAAAGGGCTTTTCCATAAAAGCATCCTGCCAATGTAGACGCGCTTTTCCCGGAAATACTTATAATGGAAAACTGTTCCTTTTTAAGCATTTCCGGAAAAGGGTGCCAGTGTAGATGTAGCCATACTGTATATGCATATACTACCTTTTGTCTCCTGAAAACAATTTCCCTGGAACCTAACCATCCCTATGTATATTAATTCTTATGGGGAAATTAGATTCACTTAACATTGTTTCGCTTAAAGTACTATTTTTCAGGAACGTAATTACAATATTAAGTGACAAGTTACTGTACAGGAACAAGATTCTATATATGATACTAAAGGTTGAATCTCTCTCATCCGGCACTCTCCGGTCCAGAAACATCCATGGTCTGGCATGATTTTAGTTAGCCAGACTGCCGGTCCAATAAAGTTTGTTTACAGTCCCCAGTCCTGACTCTCAAGCTACATGTACACTGAGGCTTCTTGCACAAGAAGCTTTTTGCAGAAGAGATCTTCTTCAAAAAACTTGAGCAAGAGCATGTCCACACTGCAAAAGCGCATCGGAAAAGTGATGCCCTTTTGCGCAAGAGAGCGTCCAGACTGCATAGACGCTCACATGCAAGAAAACTTTGATTGCCATTAACAGAATGGCCACCAAGCACCTATGCTTGTTTCAATAAGCTGGTTTTGCACAAAACCCCCTGCTGCCCATCCACACACACCTTTTTGTGCAATAACTCCTCATAGAAAGAAGAGTACCTATACTGCAAAAGAACAGGACTGTGTAGCACTTTAAAGACTAATAAGATGGTTTAATATGTGATGAGCTTTCGTGGGCCAGACCCACTTCCTCAGATCAAATAGTGGAAGAAAATTGTCACAACCATGTATACCAAAGGATACAATTAAAAAAAATGAACACTTATGAAAAGGACAAATCAAATTTCAGAACAGAAGAGGGATGGAGAGGGGAGGAAGGGGGGGAGGTAAATGTCTGCGAGCTAATGATATTAGAGGTGATAATTGGGCTCTTTCAATTTGCTTTTTTATTTCTCTGGATGGGTAATTGAGGTTTATAAATGCTTGGTAGAGATCCTGAAGTTTCTGGTCTCTGTTAGTGGGATTAGAGCAGATGCGGTTGTATCGAAGGGCTTGGCTATAGACGATGGATCGTATGGTGTGTTCTGATGGGAGCTGGAGGCATGTAAGTAACTGTATGAGTCAGTGGGTTTTCTGTAGAGAGTGGTGTCTAATTTTCCATTGCTGATTTGTACTGTCGTGTCCAGGAAATGGATGTCTCGTGTAGAATGGTCCAGGCTGAGATTGATGGTGGGGTGTAGATTGTTAAAATCTCTGTGGAATGTCTCCAGTGTTTCTTGGCCATGTGTCCAGATCATAAAGATGTCATCGATGTAGCGTAATTGAAAGAGCCAGACAAATACCTAGAAACCAACTACTTCAAGACAGACCCAAGAAAACCAACAATAGAACACCACTTGTCATCACCTACAGCCCCCAGCTTAAACCTGTCCTACACATTATCAATAAACTACAGCCTATACTGGAACAGGATACTAAACTCCGAGAGGCTCTGGGAGACAGACCCATAGTCTCCTATAGACAACCACCTAACCTCAAGATGATTCTTACCAACAACCACAGGACATACCACACTAATACCAATCCTGGTACCTTCCCTTGCAACAAACCCCATTGCCAGCTTTGCCCACATATTCACTCTGCTGATACCATTATTGGACCCAACCAAGTGAGTTATAAGATCAAGAACACATATTCCTGCGCATCCAGAAATGTAATTTATGCTATTATGTGCCGAAAGTGTCCATCTGCTATGTACATCGGACAAACGTCTCAGACACTTTGCCAAAGGATCAATGCCCACAAAACAGATATCAGACAGGATCACAAAGAAAAAACAGTTTCTTGCCATTTCAACCAGAAAGGACATTGTCTCAACAACTTGATTACCTGCATCCTGCTTCAAAGACCTTTAAAGACTTCACTTCAAAGAGAATCCTCTGAACTGTCATTCATGCTTAAATTCGACACTTTACACGCAAATTTGAATAAAGACGTGAATTATCTTACCCATTACAAAGATAGCTTCCCCAATTATCACCTCTAATATCATTAGCTCACAGACATTTACCTCCCCCCCTTTCCTCCCCCTCCATCCCCCTTCTGTTCTGAAATGTGACTTGTCCTTTTCATATGTGTTCAATTTTTTTCATTGTATCCTTTGGTATATATGGTTGTGACAATTTTCTTCCACTATTTGATCTGAGGAAGTGGGTCTGGCCCATGAAAGCTCATCACCTAATAAACCATTTTGTTAGTCTTTAAAGTGCTACACAGTCCTGTTTTTTGTTTCAGCTGCACCAGACTAACACGACTACATTTCTACCACTATACTGCAAAACTCCCTCTGTTCTGTTGATTCACTGCATATTTTCTTGTGCAAAAACATGCTTGAGGTGTGGACGCGCCGCGAGTTTTTGCGCAAAAAAGGCCATTTTTGCGCAAAAACTCTGCCGTGTAGATGTAGCCTTAGAGTTCTGTGCTGTTATTTAGCTCGAATTGACCCCTAAATGTCTTGTAAGAGCCTAGTAAGCAGTGGAAGTGTTGGTAACACTGCTAGACCATATTGACCTTCCATGGTTCAGCCAATTCTCTGGTTTAACACCCGCCAGATTCCAAGAGTGCCAGACTAGAGAGGTCTCCAGGAAGCTGTCTCATGCAGCAGAGTTACATTCACCTTAAGGAGAAGATGTGGTCCCACAGTTTCACATTTCAGCTAGGAACATTTTTTGGATGATTTAATAAGCTATAAAACTCCTTATTTTTGGTTTGGACGCTAGCATTCCAGGAATCGGTCCATGAAGGTACCTTCCCAGCTTGTACTAAGTCATAGAATGAACATCTCTTGATTTGGACAAATTTCCTATCTGCTTATGCCGAACACTGGGTGGCACTATTGCGGGCTATTGTGGGATGTAGCTTAGCCTGGGTGAACAGAACTCTGGGAAAACCGTAGGCTAATTCAGCTCTTACAACTGCCTGGCATTTGTATAAGTTGGTGTATAATAACCTAACATAGATGTGCCAGAGATCTACAGGTTAAAGCCCGAGACCAAACCTAAAAATGAATAACGTGCCCCCAAACCCCCAGCCATGTCCAGCCTATTCTGACCCAATGCCTGAAAATATGGGTACAATAGCCTAGGCCTTACCATTCACATTACAAAATGGGCTTAGCTGCTGTGACCCCCTATTCAGCAACGCACATAAGTATGGGCTTAAAGTTAAGCACCTGCTTACAGCTGATTCAAGGGGAGTTAAACACATGGCAGTGCTTGTTTTGCTGAATAGGGAGGAATTTAAGCACAGGCGTTGGAGTTTGTGACCCTGATTCAGCAAGATACATGAGCTTGTGTCTAATTTTAAGCCCATGAGGAATCCCATTTAAACCACTAGGCCTGCCCACATCCGTAAACAAATTGCTGAATCGGGACCTATCATTACAGTGAAAGAGATGGGCCCTGATGGAGCAATCATGCTATAAATCGAATAACTTCATTGGTACGGCACCTATGACAGAGTATTCCGCTAAGATTATGGAAGCCTCCGCTGACGGCCTTAAAAACCGACTGCGGTGGAAGCGCTCTTTTAGTTCAAGAGTACAGTCTAATCACCTGAGAAGCGGACAGACCTAGCCTCTGTCTTCCTGCTTGCAGCACGGGTGCTGAAAATTCACCGAAATAGGCAGTGTTGTTAAGGGCTTGAGAAAAGAAGTCGGAGCCAGAAGGATCTTGGATGTAAATTCTAGATGTGCTATCAACTCCCAGGGCATTACGTTGATCATGTAGGTGATTAGTCACCTCTTGTTTCAGTAGTGGAAGGGGATGCAAAGCAGGGCCATAAGGGGGGAGTGGTTGGGTGAAGTCCTTTACTGGTTTATACCCTCTGAGATTCCCTAGGTGAATCACACTAACAATATCAACAATATCAACATGCTCACCACAATTAAATTCTTGGGTGGTCAAGCTGGTGACGGACCGGCCCTGCAGTTCCCTTGGGTTCTCACAGGTGGCGGCTGTCTGAATATTGCCCTGTTCGGAGTATTTCTTCAGCAGTTCGGCCAGCCACATCAAGTCACAGTCACAGAGCAAGGCATTGGAGTCCAGCCGTCTACGAGACAGAGATCAAAGAAAAGTTATTTTCAGACGTCCTCAGCATAGAAAGCTCCTATGCAATGAGCACCTAAAATGGCAGCTGTTGAGTGCTCAGCTCTTTTGGAAATCTGGCCCTCAAGTGATCAGCGCTTCTGCTCCCTTCCTCAGAAAGGACACCAGGACTCTGTCCTATGGGCTGGGCTCCCTGACCAGACTCCATCTCCCATGATGCAAACCAGTGTCCCCTCTAACCGAATAGTGTGGTGCATCATGGGAGATGTAGTCCAGCTAGGGTGCTTGACCCATAGGGGAGGTAGGGTCTAGGGATGTAAAAGAGTAATCAGTTAATTGACTACCCAATAAGACTAGGCTTATTGGGTAGTCAAGTCGACTACTCGCATTCCCCGCCCCCTTGCTGCCTCTATATCAGAGGCAGCAAGAGGAGGGGGAAGCAGGAGCCAGTGGTGGGGGAAGATGGCTTTAAAGCTGGCTCCCCCCAGCACCGTCACCGCCGTGCAGATTGCCCTCCCTCATGCTGCTCCCTCGATCAAAGGCAGCAGTGTGGGGAGTAGGGGAGGCTGTTCTTGCAGCAGTCCCTGTCCGCGGTGGCCTGGGCTGGCCTCAAACTCAGGATGCTCTGCAGCAGCCCCTGTTCATGGGGGATCCCAGCTCTCCACAGGAACTCCCTCCCCACGGACAGGGGCTGCTGGACCTAGTGTGAGCCAGGACTGAGCAAGCCCGGCTCAGTCCTAGCTCACGCTGGGTCCAGGAGCTACCCCTGCAGCAGCTCGGCAGTTTAAATGTAGTAGGATCCGGGCTGATTGTGCACCTGGCTCTTACTACATTTAAACTGCAGATCTGCAGCAGGGGTAGCTCCTTCTGAGCTCCTTCCCTTATCGACTAATTGCGTGGTTGATACAAATTGTATCAACTACACGATTACCCAATTACCTGCCTCTTAACATCCTTGGTTGGTTCATCAAGCAAATTAAACTACAGGTCCCAGGAGGCAATGTACAACCCTCGGGAAATACACTTTAATGTTGAAGTGACCTGAAACAAAATATTCAACAAACAAAATATTCAACAAACAAACTCTGAAACTGACTGTCTAGGAAGGAGTACAGCAGAAAGAGATCTTGGACCACAAACTAAATGCGAGTCAACAGCGTGACACTGTTGCAAAAAAAGCAAACATGATTCTGGGAGGCATTAACAAGTGTGTTGTGAACAAGACACGAGAAGTCATTCTTCCACTCTACTCTGCGCTGGTTAGGCCTCAACTGGAGTATTGTGTCCAGTTCTGGGCATCACATTTCAAGAAAGATGTGGAGAAATTGGAGAGGGCCCAGAGAAGAGCAAAAAGAATGATTAAAGGTCTAGAGAACATGGCCTATGAAGGAAGGCTGAAAGAACTGGGTTTGTTTAGTTTAGAAAAGAGAAGTTTGAGGGGGGACATGATAGCAGTTTTCAGGTATCTAAAAAGTTGTCATGAGGAGGAGGGAGAAAACTTGTTCATCTTGGCCTCTGAGAATAGAAGAAGAAGCAATGGGCTTAAACTGCAGCAGGGGAGGTTTAGGTTGGACATTAGGAAAAAGTTCCTAACTGTCAGGGTGGTTAAACCCTGGAATAAATTGGCCAGGGAGGTTGTGCAATCTCCATCTCTGGAGATATTTAAGAGCATGTTAGATAAATGTCTATCAGGGATGGTCTAGACAGTACTTGGTCCTACTGTGAGGGCAGGGGACTGGACTCGATGCCCTCTCAAGGTCCCTTCCAGTCATAGCATTCTATGATTCTATGAAAATGAAAGTTGAAGCGTTTCATTTTGACTGGAAATACCCACATATTTCATTTGGGCATTTTCAAATCTAAATTTGTCCAAACTTCTCACTCCATGAAAAAAAAAATTGATATTTCTCCTAGAGCTATGCAGATGATGGAAATTTTGTTTCATTTAGAATTTTGTGATTTCAAAATTTGTTTTTAGATTAGATGGGGACAGATGTTGGAAAAAAACCCTTTTTTGCAAGATCCTGTAAACCTCGATTTTGGAGGAATAAGGGATCTTGCGAAAAAGGGTTTGTTTTTTTCTCGTCTGCAAAAAGAATCGGAAGATGATATGCAAACGAGAGCACCATTTACATATCCTCTTCCGCCAAAAAATGGCAGAGTAGCCATAGTCTAGGTGCGTGGGTTCCATATGCTGGTCAAAAGGAATCCAGGATGGCTAACAAGCAGATTCATTTCATTGACTTCATTGGGCTTTGGATGAGGTTCTAAGGGCTCAGCCATGCTTTGGGAGTGAATGGGGCTGAGCATTTCCCAGAGCGGAACCCTAAGGGTACGTCTACACTACATGCCTCTGTCGGCAGAGGCATGTAGATTTGTTAGTTCAGCAAAGGTAAATGAAGCCGCGATTTAAATGATTGTGGCTTCATTTACATTTATATGGCTGCCGTGCTGAGCCGACAAACAGCTGATCAGCTGTTTGTCGGCTCGCACGCTAGTATGGATGTTCCCCCTGTCGACATCAAAGCCCTTTGTCGGCAGCCCCGGTAAACCTC